AGCCCTTTGTTCGACGCGGGCGCACGAGACCAGGTGGCGTCAGCTGCGGCGGCAAAAGTTGAACATGTTCTCCTGCAGCTCGTGTGCTCTCACGCCTTGCAGTGCGCGGCAGTCATGGCGATTCTAATGCACTCGGCCTTGGGACATACTGCGGCCTTTCTGACGTCTGTTAGGCCATGGCAAGGTGCGTGCACCATTAGTTTGGCTGAGTGCATAGCCGACAGCTACGCTGCATATTTAAGCAGGAACTTCAATACGAGCTGGCACTTCAGCGTGTCGCCCAATGCCATGGTTGCTTGTGTGCCTGCTCAGGTGCGTGGTGCGTTACATGGCGGCAGCTGCGAAACGGCTCAAGGTTGCACGTGCAGAAGCGTCGACGCCACTGAGATGCCAAGGAAATCACGCGCCCCCGACTCCGAAGAGCGGATCCGCAAGCATCCCATGCGCCTGGATCGTCTCATTCCCCTCGATGCTCCCCAGGGAAAGGAAGGCGACAGTCAACAGGCGATCACGGCCTTGGGCGACACGGCCTCCATCGAGAGGAGCCTGCGCAGCATGCGTGGCGAGCTCAGCCTGCAGATCAATTTTGAAGGAGCCCACCTTCACCCTGCCGCTGCTTCTGCTGTTTCGATAGCTGGGCCACCGCACCCCGCGCCCAGGCGGCTGAGGCTCTACACTGATGGCTCATATATCGCCGAATCTGCTCAACGATCGGGGTGGGCCTTCGTTGTCCTAGGAATGCCAGTTGACCCCGACGATTGTGATATACATCTCCAGGGGTACCTCAAGGGTTACGGTTCCTTTGCGGATATGGCTGACATTGACCATGATAGGGCGTCTAATACGCAACATGAACTCTTGGGGCTTGTATGGGCTCTTGCGTGGGTTTGGCAGGCTCTTGATGCTAGCCAGGTAGTAGTTGTTCGGGTGACTGTTTGTATCGATAACAAGGCAGCGATGGAAGTAACACAGGGTTTGTGTGCTCCCCGCGCGCTAGATGAGAGGCGGGTCCGACTAGCTCGACGTCGTTTTGAGCTCGTCAGCTGTCAAACTAACTTGGACCTTCAACACGTCAAAGGGCGTTCTGGGAACCCCTGGAACGAATGTGTAGATTCTCTTTGTGAAGACACGTCACGGGTTTCGTTTGAGCCGACAGTGCGGCTGCTTGAAGGCCTTGAAGCGCACCGCGATCTTGAATGGGGATGGCTGGACAACGCTTGCGAGCACAATATCCGACAGCCAGCCAAGGATTGGCCTTTTACCCCGCCCACGCTGCCACAGCGGCAAAAGATTTCTGTGACAATGTGCCGCACGTTTGTATCCCTGAGGCTGCGCCTGAATCCGCAGGTAGTGCTGGTCGGCAGGTTGCTTCTCAGTTTAAGATGTGCACCCACAATGCTTTGACGGCAAGAGACCGTGAGGGCGCGGGTGCCTACAGGCCGCATGGATGTGGAGTGCAGCTCCGCACGCAGTTTCACAGCATGGGCGTGCTTTTGGTTGGCGTCCAAGAAGCGAGGAACCCCGCTGGTTACCGCAACCTCGGGTTTGAACTGTGGGTTTCCACGGTCATTCCGTGCGGTTATCGCAACGAGAAGCCCATCTATCTGGCCCCGCATATGCTGAGGGTGCTCGCGGCTGACCCTCGGCGCTTAGTGGTCAAAATCAGCGGGGCCTGTTTAGATATGGTCGTCATGGTCGCTCACGCGCCGCACTCGGATGCGCCCATGGCAGAGCGGAAGGAATGGTGGAGCACCACGCGAGACTTGACGATGAGATGGCAAGTTACGCGTGTCGTCTGCGATGCTAATGCGAGCGTGGGATCCGTGCCTAGCTTCAGCGTTGGCAATGAGGGTTACAAGCAGGACCAAGATGCCAACGGTACCCTTTTCCGTGACTACATGCTTGAGACCAGCTTGCAGGCTGTCACCACCCTATGTCCTTCTAGCTCTGCCGAATGTCACACGTGGTTTGCGTCAAATGGCGCGCAGCATCAGGTTGATTATGTTGTGTGTTCTGCTGATTTTGCCCCTGCTGTTAAATCTCACTGTGTGATTCACGACATCGACACCATGTGTAGTAAGCTTGATCACTTGCCTGTCGTTGTCGATGTTGAGTTTGTGCGCACCCTTGTGCGCAGGAAGAGGATAGGTAGAGAGTGGGACCCCGACAAAATCAAAGATAATGGGTGTCGGGGCCACGTCAGGCAGCTCCTCGGGGGAGTTCCTCCGGTGCCCTGGTATGTCGATGTCAATACACATGCTGCTATCCTTGACTCTTTCGTTGCGCAGGCTGCCGCTGCTTCCTTTCCTGCTTCTGAAATGCGTCCCCGGAAACCTCATGTGGACAGTGGGCTCCTCGGTTTCGTTCGTGTGAGACGGCAGGTCAGGAACGTGTTGAGGGCGATTAAAAGGATGGACGCTGCTCCTGCTCGAACCTTTGCGGGTCAAGTCATCGTAGGTACGTTTCCGTGGGATGGTATGCCTGTCTAGTCACGTCACTTCCCTATCCCTATTGTTTGTGTTGTCATGGGATGGGCTGAGGGTGAGTGGAGTTATGAGCACGTTATCATGCAGCTGGCTACTTTTTCGAAGGACACTCATCGCGAGCTGCGAAGAGCGTTGCGCACTGCTCGCGCCAGTACCATTGGCGAGATTGTTTCCGAGCTCAAGGGCGCGATCGAGGGATCTGATCCGCGAGCTGAGTGGAGTGCTTTGCGGAAGCTAGCTGCGTCTGGTGGGGGGAAGACTAAATACTACAACCCCAACTTGCCCTTCAAAGTGGATTCTGAAGGAAACCCCTACTCTAACGAAAAAGGTGAAGCTTTGGGTTTTCTCGGCATGTTTGCGAAGAGTGAACAAGCTTCCATCTGCAGTCCTAGTGCTAGTGTGCACGAATATGATGCGCATCAGGCGCAGAAGACAGTCTGCTGTGAGCTTGACTCCACTTGCGCTGCTACAAGGGCGGAGCTATGTACCCTGTTTGCGACTGGATCTCGACGGAAAGGAGTCGGCCCAGCTATGACAGCGAACGACATCTTAGGTGTGGACCCCGCTCTCGCCGCCGAAGTGTATCATCCTCTATGCACAAAGGTTGGTCTTACCTCTACTGAACCCCTGGTGTGGAATGGTGGGTGGCAGGTGCCTTTGCACAAGAAGGGCCCCCCCAAGTTGCCCCCCAACTATCGAGCGATACTTCTAGGAGAACATACTGCTAAACACCACCACAGGCTCTTGAGACGGCGGACCGTCGAAATGATCGAGAGGTTGGCGGGCAACAGTCAATATGGGGCTCTCCCAAGGCGTGGCACGGACATTGCCACTGGTGTCTTTCAAACGGTTCTCGATTTTTTGCGGTGTCAGAAGCAAACGGCGGTGCTCGTGTTCACTGATTTGAAAGAGACTTTCTATCGTGTTTTGAGAGTGTTGATTTTCAAGGCGCATGCGATTGACAGTGATGAGCTCATTGAAACCTTAGCCATCCCTCCTCGCGGCCCTCACCCTCCCAGGGGAAAGCTCCCTGGTTGAGGGTAATGACTCTAAGATGGTAGCTCGGGAGTTGTTGTTGCATGTGTGTATGTGTGCATGTATGCATCTGGAAAGGTAGAGGGAGAGAGGGGGAGAGATATAGAGAAAGAGGGAGGAAGAGAGAGATAGAGAGACAGAGAGAAGAAGAGAGAGAGAGAGGGAGAGAGTAGAGAATAGAGAGAGAGAGAGACGGAGAGAGAGGGAAAGGGAGAGGCAGGAGCGACACAGGGGGGGAAGAGTGAGTCAGAGAGAAGGAGAAAGAGAACGAGAAGAGAAACATATAACATATATATATATAGAGAGAGAGAGAGAAACAACAACAACAACAACAACAACAACAACAACAACAACAACAACAACAACAACAACAACAACTACTACTACAACAACACCAACACCAACAACAACAACAACAACAACAACAACAACAACAACAAAAAAAAAAAAAAAAAAAAAAAAAAAAAAAAAAAAAAAAAAAAAAAAAAAAAAAAAAAAATGAGAAAAAGGTGCAACAAGAAGGAGAGAGAGAGAGAGCGAGAGAGAGCGCGGGACGCAAACACGCGCACACACACAATAAAAAAGCAAACCAACATGAACCAATCAACCAACAAAACAATGAACAAGCAACTACCATCCTGTCTCCATCTGCTCCCGCTCGCGCCCCGTTTCATGAACGAACGGCTAGGGGAGCAAAACCACCACGTGCGTACTGGCACTGGGGTCAGAGCCTGGCCGATCGAAAATGCGTGTGAAGGAGGAGGAGGAGGAGGAGGAGGAGGGGGAGGAGAAGGAGGAGGGGGAGGAGGAGGGAGGAGGAGGAGGAGGAGGAGGAGGAGAGGAGGAGGAGGAGGAGGAGGAGGAGGAGGAGGAGGAGGAGGAGGAGGAGGAGGAGGAGGAGGAGGAGGAGGAGGAGGAGGAGGAGGAGGAGGGGAGGAGGAGGAGGAGGAGGAGGAGGAGGAGGAGGAGGAGGAGGAGGAGGAGGAGGAGGAGGAGGAGGAGGAGGAGGACGACGAGGAGGAGAGGGGAGGAGGAGGGGGGAGGAGGATGGTGTTTGGGTCCAGCTCCGCCGTTTGGCGCGAAGCAAATGGGACCTGGGGCAAACGGGTCCTGGACCCCAGGGCTCCCACCCAGGACAGGCTCTTCATCCCGAGTCGCTGTTTGACGGCTCCGGGGCCCGTGGAAGGCCCCCAGAGGCCAGAAACGATGAAAAGAACTCAGGATCCGTTTCGCTCGGGACCCCTCTCCTTCACTCTGAGCTCTGGACGGGAGGCGGACAATAAGAGGCAAGCGAACCGACTTCGCTTTTCGCAACCCACGCTTCCAAACGGGAAACCAAACAAAACCAAGCTGCCCTTGGTGTGGCCCGCAACGGTCAGGCTGCTTGGCGAGGAGGCTCGTGGCATGCCCTGGTTTTGCCGAGAATCGAAAGCGGGGCAGGTCATTCACCCGCACAGGCAAAGCATCCCCCCTTCCAGCCTCTGGCGAGCACTCTCAGGCTCGGCCGCTCCTTGTCCACACCGGTGTACACCTGGGGGAGGGCCCTGCCTTCGGATCCGCCGCGCTGGGGTTGATTCTCCAGCATGGAATTGCGTCGGACATGCATCCAAAACGATGCGAGAAAGAAGGGCGACAATTTCCGCCTCCAAAGAGCAAGGCAGATATTTCTTTAAAGGTATGGCGGTGACAGCGACGGCAAGGTAAGGCGGAGATCGGCATCAAAGGGCCTTGACAAGTAGAGCGGGAATCCTCGCCTTGCTTGCGAAACCACCAAAAGCACGGCGGATCCGCCCTGGTTTCTCCTCCTCCTCCTCGTCCTCGATTTCCTCCTCCTCCTCCTCCTCCTCCTCCTCCTCCTCCTCCTCCTCCTCATCCTCCCCTTATTATCATTATGATCGTCATTAGTACTACTATGTTTCCTGGTAACATATACATACATGCGTACTTTGTATTATGTTATTATTTTTCGTAGCATCAGTACTATTATTACTCGTAATGGTATTACTATCCATATGACTCGACTTATCTTGTGTTGATATCCGCCGGCCCCCTTGTGGGGCCACCAGGCTGCAGGCGCGAGGTTCGCAGTTTCCTGTACCAGTTGTAGCTTGTAGTTTCCAGTGTTACAGTTCTGCTTCTTGCTGGTTACTGTAACTAGTTGACTTATTGCTGGTTACTGTAACTAGTTGATTGACCGCGCGAGGGGGGGGAAGGCCCAAACCAGATTTTTACCACCCCCTGGGCGCGTTGTCTGAATTGATGGGGGGGCTCGAAATCGACACCCCTCACGCAGATCCGCGAGGTCAGGGTCCAAAAACACATGGGATTTGCCACATTTCTGAAATTCGGTGCCACCCCTCACGCAGATCCGCGGGGTCAGGGTCCAAAAACACAGGGGATTTGCCACATTTCTGAAATTCGGTGCCACCCCTCACGCAGATCCGCGGGGTCAGGGTCCAAAAACACAGGGGATTTGCACATTTCTGAAATTCGGTGCCACCCCTCACGCAGATCCGCGGGGTCAGGGTCCAAAAACACAGGGGATTTGCCACATTTCTGAAATTCGGTGCCACCCCTCACGCAGATCCGCGGGGTCAGGGTCCAAAAACACAGGGGATTTGCCACATTTCTGAAATTCGGTGCCACCCCTCACGCAGATCCGCGGGGTCAGGGTCCAAAAACACAGGGGATTTGCCACATTTCTGAAATTCGGTGCCACCCCTCACGCAGATCCGCGGGGTCAGGGTCCAAAAACACAAGGGATTTGCCACATTTCTGAAATTCGGTGCCACCCCTCACGCAGATCCGCGGGGTCAGGGTCCAAAAACACAGGGGATTTGCCACATTTCTGAAATTCGGTGCCACCCCTCACGCAGATCCGCGGGGTCAGGGTCCAAAAACACATGGGATTTGCCACATTTCTGAAATTCGGTGCCACCCCTCACGCAGATCCGCGGGGTCAGGGTCCAAAAACACAGGGATTTGCCACATTTCTGAAATTCGGTGCCACCCCTCACGCAGATCCGCGGGGTCAGGGTCCAAAAACACAGGGGATTTGCCACATTTCTGAAATTCGGTGCCACCCTTCACGCACATCCATCGCAAGGCGTGGTAACCCAAACTGCGAGAACTCCCTCGGCCCTTTAATCGCAAGGTGTGGTAACCAAGCCCGTAAACCATACACGTCTTACCAATCGCCAGGTGTGGTAACCCCTCTTGTGATCAGTTGGTTTTGCTGATTGCGAATCGGCTTCGCATGAAGTTTCGATACTGCTTCACGACAGCGCCAAGGCCTCATGACTTAGCTCTTCCATGGCCCATTCTCCGAGAGAGGGGGCCGGCGGCAGGGGGCGAAGCCCTTACGGATTATTACGTGCATTATTATTAGCATTCCTAATTTGATTGTGCTATTTCCTCCTCCTGCTGCTGCGCACGACGCTCGACACATGATGTCGCGCTAACCACACATGCATGCATTCACGCGCACGGAGGAGGAGGAGCAGGAGGAGGAGGAGGAAGGACCAGCCTACCCCAGCTCCTGGAGGCAGGGGTCGGTCGCGATGCGGGGATACCGCTCGGGCTCCTGAAGGGTGGCAGCCGCCTCGCCGCGGGGCACTGGGCGAAAGATGACGGATGCAATGCAGGAGGGAAGGCGAGGAGGGAGGCGAGGCGGAGGAAGGATTGAGGAGATTAGAAAATCTGCCCACAACTCAAAACATCGTGGACATCACAAAGATTATATAACACAAGTGTCGGCAAGTCCGCATGGTCGACATGGAGAGTCCCAGCGCTCCCGTGGCCACAGACTTCAACGAAACCAACTATCTCAAGGAGATCCCACAAACTCGGCATAACGGAAACTCCTGGTCGGGATGGATGGGCAAGAGCAAAACACACCCCATGGGCAGCATACGCCATCCTCAAAACGAAACCGACCCTGAGCTCCTCAGCATCAAGGCTGACCACCACCCACTAAGGGGCAACAGAACACGGCAGACCTCACGGGTCCGAAAGCATCTGCGAGGAAGGCGCCGCAACGAAATGGGCGCATTATGCGGCCACGTGCTGAAACCAGGAGAGGCGACAACATCCCGAACGCGTCGATTGAGCACAAGTGGCCATATAGCCTCCTTGAGCTGCACACACTCACGCTCTTGCACGATAACAGCTCTCACATCTATTGCAATGACCTCGCAAGCAGCACAAGTCCTCTGAACTTCGACCCTACGGTGGGTTTCTAAATTGCAGGGCGAATGAACTTCGCTCGAAAGGAGGGCAACCAAGCTCGACGGCGACGACGGAGGCTCACGAGGAAGAGAAGATATCGAGAGTCAGGGCCCTCAAGGCCCTCGCCATCATACAGCACCCGAAAGCCTTCCCGAGACGCGGGCACGACCTTGGGGACGATCTCACGCTGAGTTTCTTCGAAGCCTGGCCCGGTAACGCACTCAGAACTGGCCTGCCATGGCGGCAGCCCCGAACTGATCGGCCCCTCGAAGGCCCCCGACCTGCTCGTGCGCCAGGGGCTGCAGGCCTGATGCGAGCGCACATGGACAGCACTTGCGACCATGCCGCAGGCGCTTCAAAAGCCTCGGTCTAGCATGGTAGTCATGCGGCACTGGCATACTCCGTTGACAACCAGTCGGGGCGAGATCCGATTCGCGATGCGATTGCAGTGGGAACATCATCGCAGTCGACGCAAATGAACTGCGGAACGTCGACGCTGTCAACGAAAAAAGCTAGGTTGGGCAAACGAGCGAGGCCACGCAGCTTGGCAATATCGCGATGCCACAATGCGTTTCGAAACCCGCCCATGGCCGCACTGGGGGCAGCCCCAGCCAGCCCGAACAAGCGTCAACCACTTGGTAGGTTGATCTCAGGCTATGCCAAACCACCAATGAACACATGGAGGCTCGGAGAATCGGCGATGGGAAGCTGGATGAGACCACGCAGACGGTCGACGTCGTCAACAACCTGACCAGGCCAAGTGTCTGCATAGCTATAGACGCATCCATGAGCAAGAGGACAAGAGCAGACCCAACCAAGAACGCGAGTGAGCGCACAACCCCAGGCGTCGAATCCTCAACAGATCACCCGAGAGGCATCTTCGGGTTTCCAGGAGGACCCTCGCTACAAGAGTTTTTGTTTTCTCAGCGCCCAAGCCCGCAACTTCGGGAAGCGAAGCTCTCAACGGCGAGAGATGCACGTTATTCAACGTGTCGAACGCTTTCAGATTTATGCAAAAGCCAAGCATTAAATCAAATCCCTGGAGCTACGCAGCGCTCCAGCATGCGTCATCTTGCTCGAAAGAGCAAGAGACTATCACTTGAGCGCCGCGCGCCTCAACCGGCCGAGAGCCGCGCTCTGGCGGTTGCTCCCACGGGCGATCTCATGGTTGAGGATGGACGCCCGATGCCGCATGCTGCCAAGGTACTTGAATCACTTGCCGACCTCCACCTGACCCTGCTCGACGCCAGGGGCAGGCCAAGCCGCGCGGTCAACGCCGACGCAAGCCCTCTTTGGGCCACAGGCACGGGCAGGGGGGAACGTAACCAGGCGCGCAGATTTTCCGGGATCTGAATTAAACGTGAACCCTCGTCACGTAACTTCCCCGTGTACAGTAGCAGCAAAATCAGCGGCAGAGGAAGCCCAACCCCCGTCGAGGTTGGCAGACGCAAAGGGCGAGGAGGTCATCAACGCGCGCAGGTCCGCGGTCACGCGCGCCTGAATGGCCTGCTGCACGGGGGCAAAAGAAACCCAAAACAAGGAGTCTCCGAGAGGCGCGCCTACACTCGCGCCGGGTCGCGCGACAGCCGAAAGAACCCGACCCACGCGGGATTCCAGAGGTTTTCGATCATCTCATCAGGGGGGAGATGACGCGCAGAAAAAACGAAAACCCTGAAGACACGGCGGAACGCTTCGGTAAGGCCGACGAAAACCGTGACCAAAGCATCTGGCGAACCCTCTAATGACAATCGAAGGAATCGACAACGGCGCCAACAATATCAGCGCCCAACTTGGAGAAGGCACCCATCTGGAGCTCCCACAGCAATCCTAGTAGCGATGTCGACCAGCACTCCTCTCAAAAACTTGCGATGGTGTTAGGCCGCGCGAGCGCCGCGGCGGATGGCCCGCAAGTTTTGGGGCAACCTAGGGGCGCCTTGTTTGATCAGTAGAGCTCGCCACCCACCCTTCCAGGCTAGAGGCTCGGCCGCACCAAGGGGCGCCTTAGCGCGCATCAGATGGCGCAACTTAGCAAACGCACGGGGTGCGACGGCCAGGTCGCTGGCGACGGGCGCGCCAGGGCCGAGCGCTCGCCGCGTAGAGCCCGAGGCAAAGAAACCACTCAGCTCATCCAGGTTGGAAATCAAATCCACAGAAAGCCGCGCGCACGTCGCGCGTGCACGGCGCGGCCCACCATGCCTCGAAGGCCCCGGATCCTTCCATGATGGCCCCAAACTCGCCGGAGACAAACATGTTGAGGAACCCGCGAGCCACGGAGCGCTGGCCAGGGAAGGGGGCCGCATCCTC